TTAATAATTAATTAAACACTTTAATTAATTAATTAATTCTATTAATTCCAATAGTTACTCCACTATAAACTTGGAATTGAACTCTCGAAATTATAGACATTAATTACTTCTAAACTGTGAAGTGTCCATTTGATATAGTCATTGCATATAGATTAATCCTCCATAAATAATTCATAATTAGAGTCAGGTAGAATCCGTTAACCTCTCTAATTATATCTGTATCCTTGAGTACCATTGATTCTCTAATGGATAGTGATTCATAAAACACATTCATGAAGCAGAGCGCTCTTACTAATCCAAGTACCGAATCAACACTCAAGAGAATTATTTATCTACTTCTTTCTCAAGAAGGAATGGATTCCATCTCGTATAATAACATTCTCAGCTACCTAATTCATCATTTCTTCAAAATACAAGGAATAGGATTCAGGGTCTCGGAATCCGTACCGAGTAAATCAAAAGACATAAATCCATAAATAGGAGTTTGTTAAGAACTCAGAATTAAGATCATTCTATATATGACCATCGGTAGACTCAATTAGAATTTCTATGCTTAACGGAAATTATTAGAAATTCATATTGTGTCTGCATCCCTGTTCCACACAATCTCATTATGCGAAATACACGCATTCAATATCTCACCATATTAACAGTGCGGATAGCACCGTTCTATTCTAAATGGGAATGACATGTATTAATAATGTTTTCATTAAAGATTCTGAACTTTAATTAAATTCATTATGAACAATATTTTTTATTATTATCCTTAAACACTATCCTCTCATATATAACATTTATATACTATGTTTAAGGTTACATAAATAATCACGGAATTTTCATTTGATATTCATAAAATATTCATAAATATATGCACATAAAATGATGAATAAACTCTTTTATTGATTAAATAATAAATATCCTATTACATCTTATGCTTCTAGGACACTATTCCCAACACTTTAAACTCATCAACTCGCTCACTGAACATTGCCTCTTCATCTCGACCTATATCGAAGCGCAATAGCAAAAGTGGAGCACGGGGTGTGGATGCCGTGACAAAATCTATTTTGAAAAGTATTACAACTACACTGAATTAGCGACAGAATAGTCGAGGTACAAGTTCAGGTGCTTCTCAGCATGTGGAAGCCTAGCATACAACATTTCAGAAGTGTCAGGCAGTTATTAGTGAGATGTTAATGGACGATGAACAGACGGTGTTGTTCATGGAGTATATAAATTGGAACCCTAATTATCAACAATTGTTGTGGGCATGAACGAAAGTCAAAGGCTGCTTTACGCATTGAAAACATTGAATAAAATAGCAAATCATCCAGGCCCTAATGTGCAGCCACAATTTTCATATTATATGAACCTTGCTCTAACAAATATGGGTGCTCATGGCCATTTTAGACCTCCGGTCCAAAACTTCTCACAGTAGCAGCCTCCTTTTCCCCAAGGACCCCCTAATTTTAACCCACCACAACCATCCTTCCAACAACCTACTCCTAGTGTCCAACAACCCCTTCCTAACTTCCAAAATTTTCCACCATTTTTCGTGAACTCCCAATTCCCACCCCCACCCAGCCCCTTTGGCGGAACCGGAACTGATGAAGTTTAAGTTGAGTGCTTTTTTTTAAGCGTGATTTCTTTTTCCATTTCATTCTATGTAGTTTATGGTTTCTTATCTGGAAAAATTTTATTTCATTTCAATTTGACACCGGCTTTAGATGCAGTGTTAAGTTTGTGAGTGTTTTTCATGTTGCATTGTAGACTCCGATTTAAAACATTGATTTTGTGTTTTGTGTAATTGCTTCTGTACCATGAAATTGATTGTTGATGCTAAATTTCTCCATTATAACATTGTGATAGTATAACATTATTGCTTCCATATTGCATTTTGGTGTGTATATTGTGAATTGTAGTGGCAGACAGAATGTGGAGTGGCGGACCATCAAATGTGGGAAACAATGGTCCAGATACATATGACTCTGAGGATGACTACATTCTTGGAGCTGCCGTTGCTGTGGTATTCTGTACGGCGTACTTGGAACATCCGCTATCAACAACTACCTGATGCGGAAGCAAATGAGAATACCTATTGCTTGTGCTGCAATACATAACTTCATACGCATGTATCAACATGATGACAACTTCAACGCAGATGAGGATGTCAATCCAAATCATAACCCAAATCGGAGTACTGAAGGACCAAGAAACACCTCGAGTCGAAAGGAGATGGGTCTTTTGAGGGATGAAATAGCAAAAACTATGTGGTAGGCTCATAGTGAAAATAACAATTGCTAGCTAAACACATATCAGTTATTCATGTATGAAATATTTTATTTTGTAACAGGTTATGTTGGATTGTATTAACCAATTTAAAGATCAAAATTTTTAGATTTTTGTGCATAACATTATTAGGAATTGGTAGTATGCGTTTTTTTAAATTTTTGTGTATTCATGGTTTTTTTTTTTTTTCATGTCCCTACTTGAATTGGAGGTGTTGGTTGGAATTGTGAAATTGGTGAAGTGAACACCTCATAACTTGAATTAAGAGGAAGGTTTGAATCACCATGTGCACTCCTAAACAGTAACTTTGATTTCAGTTTTAATTTCAATTTAAATTCTAACTCCAATCTATACACTCAACTCAAATCACAAATTCTAATCTGTGAAGTGAACACATAGTAAATATTCACAACTTCACTACATGCTGGATGGAAAATAGAAGCAAATATGAGATAAAATTTCAAGTGTTGAAAATAAAAATTCACTATATGTTGGGAATCGCTTTAACCAAGGCTTCGTTCATTTGACCAATTCGAGTTTTTAATTTTAAGTTTTTATAGTTAAAAATTCTCAGAAAATGTCACGTCTAATTTTTTCTGTTACAGTTAAAAACTCTCAAAAAATATCATATCTCAGTTCGGATTAAAAACTTGAATCCGCGAAATGAACGAAGCCCAAAAAATTTTAGTAAAATAGGTTGCGTGTCATTTGGTGGTGTGCGTATCGTCCATCATCGCGTGTATGCTTACAGATTGCTTTTCTTGCCGTTTTCTTTATTGTGTTAAGGAACATCACTCTCTTCGGTCGGTGTTGTAATGTTCTAACTTATGGATTTTCTTCATTTTCGTTTGCAATAACAGTGGTTCTCATCTCGATTACTTTTTGTCATTGTTATGTTTGTTAAGTGTTTAGTTGACATTTTCGCCCGCTAGATTTATTTCTTCAAGGCTTTTTACATAGCCTCGGTGCTATGAGATTCTTGAAACGTATTGATATAATATTTGAGTAATCTTAATAAATACCTTTTAAAAGTACATAGATCAGAATTTTTATTCTTCACTTTTTATTCGTAATTTTTTTTAGTCAAATAATTATACTAATAAAAAGGTATTTATCAAGAATAAATAGTTAAAGTCCAGACTTAAACACTTTTAAAAGTAAATTTTACAATTTTCTCATTATTTTATTTTATTTTATTTTCATCGACTAAAGAGATTTTGTTAAAGAGTTGTGTGTGTACTCAATTTTTAATGTATCTCTTTGATGGCATGTTTACTTACCAAGAGTGGGGAATGAAAATCGGGAATCGGAATCAACCTCATGTTTACTTACTCATTTTTATCTTGGAATGAGAGTAAAAATGTGTGGGTCTCACACCAATTTAGGGTTGAGAAATGGGATTGGCACTCCCCTCACCCCTCACCGGATTGGCACTCTCAATCCTAATAGTAAATATTAATTATGATTTTACCATTAATTCTACTAACAAATTTGTGAATAGAAAAGTAAAAAGTAAAAAATTGAAAAATGTCATAATTTACTTTCACGTCTCTTGTATCTTCTTGCTCACTTCTTTTGATATTTTTTTTCTTTTCTTTCTTTTTTACTAGTGCCATGGACGGATTTATATTAATGCAAATAATTAAATGAAATTAAGATAGCTTTTTTTGCATGCTTATAATTAGATTATTGTGTTATGTCTATTGCTTTTCATTTTTCAATCTATATTCTAAGCTGATTTTTGTTTTCAATAATATGCAATGTAATGCTAAATCTAATTTTATATGTTGATAATGTAGGGTAACCATCTCTCAACTTTTAGCACGAAAGAAGAGAGTAATTAACAAAATCTAATTACTAATTAGTTATCCTAATTTAGATGATTAATTTGGTGTGATTAAAAAAAATCTAATTACTAATTAGTTATCCTAATATTAAGATAGTTAGTATAATATACAATTTCTTTTTTTTTTTTAAGTTCAACACACAAAAATCTACTAAAATGATAGGTAAGTAAATTTATAACAGTTTGTTCTGATTATGGACATAAGTAAACGCATGAATGGGATTGGGACTGATTCCGACTCCGATTCCTAAACCCTAAGTAAACAACTTATTCTGACTCCGATTCCTGTCCACTCCGAATTCTGTCCATTCCGATTACGAATAAGTAAACATGACATGAGTGTCTTATATTTGTAAAGCTCAATACATACTTTCTCCCTTGAGTTTTCATTTGAATTCACTGGTGGAACTAATTGTCTATCGACATTCTGTCTACTGCGGTGTGAGACTATGTGAATTGGTATTTGTAAAGCGTATTCACATTTTGAAATATTTTTTCGTTAAAAAATGTAATAATTAAGGGCAAAATAACTATAGTTCAAAATTAAAAGGTTAAAATATGGTGGATCTATGAGTTTTATACTTTTTCCTTCTAGATTTCCTCTATACGAGGATACTAGTACCTTTGATTCTACTCCATCCTTCAATTGCTTTCCTCCTACTTTCCATAGAGTAACACACATGAAGAGCAAATATGTGTGTGTGTATAAATATAAACAAAACATAAGCGGAAGGAGTACAAACCATAAACATACATATATATACCAAGATACATACGTGTCTGATATTTTGAGGGAATTTTAAGTCCTATGAGTACTACTTTTTCTAACTCGGCCTCGTCCAAGCAAAACACAACATTAACTAATTCAACTATTGAAGGTCCAACTTAGAATCTTGTGGCTTTCAAGGAGTTGCCCAGTTGATGCAGTGAACCCAACATACATCTCATCGAGAAAGACTCCAGAAAGATCAAGAGGAACCTTGATCAAAGCTTTACGAGGCTTCTTCTTAAGTTTTGCACTGGCTAATGTTATGCTGAGATTAGAGTTCAAATACTCAATCCATACTCTATATTTGTCACCACTATTCAGCTTCACCTCTTTAAAAGACATATTGGTCTTGTCCAACCAATATCCAGCCCTGTGAGAAACCACAGAAGTGAGGGAATTGACATCAACACCAACATGGTTGTCATTGATATCATCGAATTCTTCGTTTTTGAACACATCGAATTCGACACCAAACAGGTGGTTGTCGGGATTGCCATCGTTGGTTCGGTTCACGAAGCCGAGATGTTGAGATGAAGAGGCGCCTTGGAGGCCAATAGAAGGCACAAAGACAAAGACAAAGCCATGGCCAGGGAGAAAGTTCTTATATGGGGGGTGACGGAGAAGGTGAAAGAGGTTGAGAAGTTGAGGAGAATGGAAGAGTTGGGAGATCTTGTGGGCACTTTGGCATGGTAAAGAGCTCTACCAATGGAGAAAGTGGAGGTTCTAGTGAGAGATAAAGCGCGCGAGTTTATTGTTGCATCACCATAGAGCAAAAGGTCAGAAGAATTGAAGCCATTGAAGGTGAATTCAACTGAAGAAGCAAATTGGAAGATGAAGAGGAGTTGAGAGAAGAATAGAGCAAGAAATAGTCCCTGATAGTGGAGCATTTTGAGTTAATCAGGTTCTTGGAAGTTAATCAAGTTAAATGTACAACACTAGCCACCTCTTGTATTTTTACTGAACCAAAAGTTTGGAATTTTCAAATCTTTGAATTCAATACGTTTTGCAGCCATCATAATAGACCCCACCATCTGGTGCTTTGATTTTTTTCAGTACTTATCCAATGGTTTGAATGGCAACTTGTCTAACCACGTAAAATGAGGGTGTGTTTTAGACATGATAAATGCAAATATAGTTCAAAGACCTCCCTCTTCCTCCAATTTTCCAAATGAGACCAATTTCTTTGTCCTGTTCCAAAGGAAAGGAAACAGGCATGTTTTAGCACATAAAACATAAACCTAAATCTTGGGGAAATATCCATTTGTGTGGCGTAGTTTTCAAAATACCAATCACTTAAAAAAATATATACAAAAAAAAAATAATAACAATGAATTTCACAGAAAAACAAAGATGTAAATTTTGAAAAAAAAAAAAAAAAAAAAAAAAAAAAAAAAAAAAAAACAAAAAAAAAAAGAAAAAAAAATCCTCACCCTGCATGGTGATTTTGAGCTCCATTATCCTTGGAAAGGTCATCAAAACCATGCTGATGCCTGATGGTCTTTATTGTGGGTTTTGTTTATGTCAGTTTTTTTTTTTTTTTTTTTTTGGAAGACCTTTATAACTTGAATAATAAATTGAGAAAAAGTCAACAACTGATCTTAATGGCAAGGGCAGTGAGAGCAGCAACAACATACAAGTGGTGAATGATAATGGCAATGTCAACAGCGAGCAGGTTTGCATAATAAATAGTGTTGAACCAAAAAGAGGAGCAATGTTAGAGAAATAAAAAATAGAAGACTGATTTTAAACAGAATCTAAAATTGATTTAGGCCAATAGTTCGTAATTGTAGGTTCAAACATAAAGTTTGAATAAAAAATTCACAAAAATATAAAAAAAATTTAAACTTTTTGTAAGAAAACACTATCAAAACAAGGTTTGAATTATGGTTAACTCATAGAACAAACGGGACCTTAACAAAGCAATAGGCACATAGATTTGACATCATGATTTATGACTTCCAGAAAAAAATAAATAAATACAAAAATAACAAATTGGCATGATCACTAGGCCCCTCAGAAACTGGTTTTAAACATTACTTTTTTGGTTATAAACTTTAAATGTGGACCATTTCAATGAAATCTTGATAATAAAATTCTCTTTTTGTCGGAAAATGCCACTGCCACCAACTCCAACCGGGACAAAAGTACAAGACAAAGTGACGGAACTTGATGCAAAAGTGCATTTTCAATGAGAGAAATGCAATATCTTACCCTCCTCATTACAAAAGAGAATATCATCTTCCCCACGTACCTATAGCTCTTGGCTAATAAAAAGCTCTACAAGAATGTACCATATTTGGGAGACAATAATGGCAAAGTGGAATGAGAATACACCTGAGAGAGGGAAAGAGAGATTTTAAGGTAACAAATTTACCTAAAGATGGCCACAAGCTATTTCTCTAGAATCAGTCCCTATACAGAAGAAAAAGGGGGAAAAAATGCCCAACCAATAACAACTCTATTTCACAAGGAACAATCACCCACCAAATTCCGTTCCGGTGAGATCTTCTTGATGATGCTTTGCTTGATTTGGTGTGTACAAGAACCACCTCATCGACCAGAAAAAAACAATGAATTGTTTGATATTCGGTCCCCTTCCACCTGAGCTTTTCTGATCTTAGCCTTGTCAAGACGAGCACGTCTAACGGCTTCTTGGACCTGGCGATCATGGTCCTTGAGCATCTGATCCATGTTGCTGGAGGGGACTAACAACGGTCCAGAGTAGTGGATTTTGTGACCCTTTGATCCATAGCCAATCTGTAGTAAAACAAACAAAATGAATCATCAATACAGTATTACGTAAATAAGGGAAGAAATGTCATCAATCCTCAAAAAAGATGATGCAACTTGACAGAAACCAATACCAGGGCACTTCAAGGAAGTAAAATATACATATAGATGATCAATAAGTCTGATCAGTACACAATTTCCTACGGTAACAATTATCACTACTAACTAGTCTTTTATTGATGTATAGATGTTCGTTATATAAACAAAAAATATACAGTCATGACAATTTGCAAAATCACCAAAGTATCAATAACAAAGAAATTTTGATTAAAAAAAAAAAAAAAAAAAAAAAAAAAAACATCATGAAAGGCGGGGAATGAGGCAAGAATCAAACTACTCACAGGAATAGGATCTTTACTGCTGTGTCGTCCATCTTCTTTTTGATTAGGTCCTATGACCTGTATGTGAGGCTTTTGATCTTGCCGTGAGGAATCCGTGGTCTCCTTGAATGCGCTTGGAAACCTAGCCGTTACTTTTGAAACTTCTGGTTGCAAAGAACTAGACCTATCTCTATGGTCTTCGGCAAGCAAACTCCTCCTTGCTACCACTAAACCTGACATTGTTGACAGGTCGGCCCCGACTGACACCTTTGGAGCATCGTCTATGTTCTTAGCAGTCTTTGCCCATGCAGCCCGATGAGCCAGTGGCCCTGAGTGTGATGCTCTCTTGTGATTAAAGCTCTGTGGATCAATACTTACTTCCACAGCTTGTGATGGTCTAGGTGGATCAATTGGAAATCCGGAAGCAACTTCTTCCGGATGAGGATTAAACTTCTCACTCCGGCTCTTAGAATTGGATTGACCTTGTCTTTTCTGTAATATAACGAAGCCATTTCATTAACACTTCCATTTTACAACATGGTAATTTTGATTTAAAAACAGCAGCAGGAAAAGAATAATAAATTAACCATACTTCAGAAGTACACATGCTCCTTTCAAAACAAGAAGTAAAAGGATGCCTAAATAAGCTTATATAACTTGAAATTAATTTTTTTAAAATTAAAAAAAAAAAATGGGTTACATAAAAATTGAATAACAGGGAGTATTTCCAAAAATGGATGATGGCATTAAGCCTAAATGGATGAGCGATTTCAGGTAAAAGCATATCAACTGATACCCGCATAGACAAAACTAATTCAGCATTTGCATCAGGTGCTGGGACGGCTCGAGATTCTCTTGTTCTCCTCTCAAGATCAACTCTCTGTCCCTTGCTTCCTACTGCTCCTTGTCTATCAGTGCAAGTACAAACAAGATTTTTAGTATACACAAAATGCTAACTTCTTGGGGAAAAAAAAAACCAATTCACAAAACTATTCAAATCCCAAAATCTAACAAAATCTGAATGATGATTAAACGTAGTCTCAGAACCACTAGCTAAAACAATATATTCCTACTTCCATAGTACTATCCCACTAACAAGCAGCAACACGTAGATATGTCGAAGTGATATTATTGAATTTTGAACAATCTATAATCTAGTTCAATGTACTTTATACATTAAAATAGACAAATATTTAATTAGTTCAGAAATTATTCTACTACCGCAGTTATAAGTACTAAAAAATGTTGCCACTGGAAACTCAAGATTTCAAATATTTCCATCTACTACCAAACCAAATATAGCTTGTATAAGTTGTATGCGCAGAAACTCACTTATAATCAGCAATATAAGAATTGATGAGAAATACAAAACACCTACCTCCTTTTGAAGCTAGAAAATACTAGATTCCATGATAATGTCCTTTATTAACCACTATTTTTTTTTTTTTTTTTTTTTTAAAAAAAAAAAAAAAAAAAAAAAAAAAAAAAAAAAAAAAAAAAAAAAAAAAAAATTTTTTTTTTTTTTAAAAAAAGCAAACAAACAAAAAAACAAAAACAAAAACAAACAAACAAACATACAACAACAACAACACAATAAGTAATCAAATTATAATCACCTTCTAGCCTCTTCATCCCGTACTTTTGCATCAAACTCTTTGCTAGGAGGATACTTCGGCAAGCTTGAAGGATCACATGGAAGAGGTTTTGTTGTAAAGAACTAGCAAAATAAAACAAAAAACGTGATTAGGATAGAAGATAAAAACAAAGTAACGGTTGTAACATTTCCCAAAGAGAAGAATAACTCTAATAACGATAATCTTGTCTGTTTCAGTAATCATATGGCTACTTTAAAAGAAAGTATTAGAATTCATAACCAAAGAGACGTTATAAAGAACTTGGTATACGTAAAAGTCCATACCTCGCTATTGAGAGCAGAAGCTGCAGATCCACGATCAGCAGGATCTATGGAAAGAAGGATCTCCATAAGTGCTAAAGCCGGTTCAGGGAACTCCTTAAAAGTGTCTGCAACACAGCGTCTATAGGGCTGCTGTGGCTTAAATATTGTTGCATGAGGCAACTTTGACTTTCTCCAGTAATCCTCAGAAGGCGAGCCACAAAGCTTGAAAATTTTATGTAACTGCTCCACCTACAAGTTTGAAAGCAACAACGACATGAGGAACCAAACAGAAAATATAATACAAAACATGTCAAAATTTCTGTTTGGTTATTTCAGTGATAGGGATCTCTAGGATTGCAAGGACTGTTCAAACGTTTCTTAAGGTAATACTCGTAATAATTCCTTAGTTTTCTTCAGTCCCTACGCATCTTAGAATCCATATAGAGTACTCATCACAAGATAGGTAAATAATAAATTGTTAGAAACTGTAATAACTGTTGGAAATTGCCTATTTACTATACGATGGTTCTAAAAGAGCACAGGAATTATCTAATGCTACATCTTCAACTAGTAAAAAAAAATATTACAAATTAAAATTAAAATTAAATACCTCAGTTCTTCCAGGCATTATCGGCTTGCCAGCATACAATTCAGCGAGTATGCAACCTGTACTCCATAAATCTACAGCTGTGCCATAGTAAGTGGCACCAAGTAACAATTCTGGTGGGCGATACCAAAGAGTTACAACACGGCTTGTTAGAGGTTGATTTTGATGAGGATCGAAAAAACTTGCCAGACCGAAGTCAGCAATTTTCAAGATTCCATTGTTATCAATAAGAAGATTGGAACCCTTAATGTCACGGTGCAGAACACCACGACTGTGACAATGATCAAGTCCATGTAGAAGTTGTTGCATATAACATTTAACCTGCAAAGAAACGAACTGGACCTCAGCAATTGCGAAGCATTACACCTGAATACTTTAAATGCCAAGCCAAATTACATGGATGAACTAGATTCAGAAGAAAGCATGGACAAAAGGCCATGCTAAACAAAACAGCAAGGATCATTATCAGACAATAGTTTTTGGAAAGAGATTCAGTTGGAACACTTATGGCAGCAGTATATGGTAATAAATAACAAAATTATCTATGTATACCTGAGCTTCCGTAAACTTTAGACCAGGGTGAGAAGCAAGCCCCGCTAGATCATGCTCCATGTACTCAAATACAAGATACAAGCTGCAAGACATCCTTGACGTAACTAGACCTTCTAGTTTTATTACGTTTGGATGATCAAGCCTACGTAGAATGTGAATTTCCCTTGCCATGAAGCGTACACTCTCAGGCTCCAGGTTATCAAATCTCACTTTCTTCAAAGCAACAATTTTCTTTTGATCAAGATCACGAGCCCGATAGACATTACTATAAGTTCCCTGGCCAATCTGCATAAATAGATGCAATTACAAAAACCAACACGACAGCATCTCCAGGTTACAAGGTAATAGAAATCATATAGCTTTCTTAAGAAAAGGAAAAGAAAAATATAAGCTTAGGTTCAGTCCCATTTACTTATAGGCATAGCTTTCCTTCTCAGGTTTAATATTATTGTATCAGATGTGAGATAAGTAGACATGAAATACTAAAAAAAGAACAGGAATATTACACAGAAAAAAAAGCATCAGGTTGCATCCAGTTCAACACCCAAAACACAAGAAAGCAGAGTTTTTAAAACCAAGGACACACTAGAAGCAGTCAATGAGCAATTTAACTAAGGTAAGAAGGCATCACAAACAATGTATAAAGATAATTGACTCATAGTTTATATTCTTAGACGTCTATTAACTGGTAGCAAGAAATGTCACTCTCCCTAATCAGTATAAGTTTAAAAACCACGTGGATATCCTAAAAGAAAAAGAAGGAGAATTTCAAACTATTGTGACATTCTTGTATGATCAATGAATGATAAAACAAGTTAAATAAACGAAAGATTTCACATCACAATCGCTACTCTATGACTAAATTTGATAAGGAGCATACTTTATCCAGCTTCTCAAACGAGTCTGCACGGCGCGGCACCCATCCTCTGATAGCATCTCCAGCAACTGCGGCCAACCAGGTCGGCCAACCTGCAGCAATCTGCTCCCCTTCCGAAGCTTTAGGAATGCTACCAGTTCCCGGATGTTGAGCAAAAACATATTCCATCTTCTCCCTCTTTCTCTCAACATTCTCCCTGTGTAACCGAGCCTCCCCATTTGTATGCTTATCAATCAACATTGCTCTTCCGTCATTAGTATCATATTGGTCCTTTGCCTGATACCCTTCCTCCCTCCTCGACGAAGTAACCCTCGCAATCCGCACATCGGACGAGGCCTTGCTCGACAACCGCTCCCGAGGGCTCTCCTTACTATCATCAATAGCAGAGGGCTTGCAACAAATGCAACCCATCACGCACCAAAACAACCCCAAGCAAGACCACCCTCCTTTAGAACCAATATTCACTCTATTCTCAAATCTTCCACATTACAACATAACCTTTTTCTTCCACACACATAACTACCAAACTCAATCTCAAAATTGTAACAATGACATTTCTCAAATAAAAAAAATGAATATATAGAGTCCAACTAAAACCCAGAATTCAACTCAATCCTCAAATGAACACCTCAAAACAAACTCATTTCCAAATTCCAGCCCAGAAAAGTTACTGCCTTGCAAAACCAAAAAAATAAAATAAAATACATCATGTTCCACAAACCCCAGACCCCTAAAATCCTGAAAATTACACTAACAACCCGGAATGCGAGTTTCTCCTCCACTAAAACCCCACAAAACCAGCCTCTCAACAAACCCTAAATCCCGAAAACCAAAATGCCAAATGAGGAAAAATCTTCAGTAAGAAACTCTAGAATCGTTGGTTTCAACAGTACCTTGATAACGGCTCTGGTTGCGCTAATAAATGCCCTGGTCCGACCAAGCAGCAGAGCAAACCCACCGAAAAGAAAAATATGTAGAGATAGAGAGAGAGAGAGAACGGAAACCCTAGACACAGATCCGAGGCTTGAAGAAGGAAGACATGGATCTAGAGAGGAGGGATTTTGAGAGACACGTTGAGTTTCAGAGACTGAAAAAAAAAATAAAAATAATAATAAAATGGAAATAAAAGAAACGGTTAAAAAAATGTAAATGAAAACTAAATAAATAAATAAAAATCAAAATGAAAAATATTTTATTTTATTTTTTGTGTGCGCGCTTATAGGGAGTGTCCGCTGGAGACTGCAGAACTTTCTTCAGGGAAGAGAGACAGAGAGGAGAGAGAAACTTGTGAAGCCCAATGCATATAGACATTCCTATTTCCTGTAATAAAAAGGATGTTGCCACGCGCTAGATTTTATTATTATTATTATTATTTTCTTTTTCTTTTTTGCTGCCGGCTAATTTATTTATCATTTTTAAAAGAGGTTTTATTTTTAAAAAAATATTTTGATTTTTTTAAAGTTTTTTTTTTTTGTTTATTATGATGAGGGGGCAAATTTAATTTATTAGGTGAGTACTGCTTTATGTGGTGAGTGGGGTATGGAATACATGGAAATTGAGAAATTTCCGATGATTTAAAAGGAAAGTGAGAAAATCCTTTCGAGAGAAAGGAGGATAAAATTTTCAAGTTTAAAATAGATTTGCATTTTAAAAGGAAGGTAAGAAAATCCTTTTTTAGAGAAAGGAGGGTTAAATCTTCAAGTCTAAAATAGATTTGCATTTTACACCTTGATCTTACGAAAATTATAATTATAATCTCTGTGATTATTTTATGGTCTGCATATTTTTAAGGGACTCTAACTTTATTGTTATCATGCCTATTGACATAATAATTTTTTTCCCTATAAAATTAACATATTAGTTTTTTTGTTTTAGTAGTATTCAATATTATATACACTGACAAGTAATTTTTAATTATCATGTTTTGTACTTAAAGCAATTGCAACCATACTAGTCATTTCATGTTTTTAGTTAAAATGATTAATTAGTTTTTTTTTTTTTTTTTGCTTTTTTTTCACTCTAACTATTAACTAAATAGTTAGCTATTTTAAAAAATGCATTTCACACTAGCAAAATATAGTTAGTAAAAAGTTGTTAGTAATTTATTTGTCTATTATTTTATTCTTTCAAACCATAATAAATGTAAATGTTCTTTTTTAAACTAAATGAAGTTATTTATATTTAAATTCAATAAATATTCAATAATCTATTTTTAGCTAATATAGAGAGTATAGTTTGAGTGACTCACTAAAAAGTTGATAGCTAAAATAGTTTTCTAACTATTTTAATTAAAATTTAGCTAAAATTTAGATAAATCCCCTGGAGATGCTCTTACAAACTTAAATTTGTCATTCCACGTTTAGTGTAATAGTAAATCTACACACACTTGCAATAGAAAGATTTTTAAGTCACCCCCTCTAAGTTCAGAACGAAAATAGTTTATATGTTGTATTTTGAGTAATTACTTAAATTTGACCATTTTATATTAAGTAGATGTTTGGTTCATAAATTCAGAATTATTTTTTATTTACGTGTGTTTTTTTTAAGAAAAAAATACTGTAACGAGTCAAGAATTATGATCTGAACTATGACACAAATTCACCAACCAAACATAGCATAAATGTCAATTAACATAAGTTGAATTGCACTGTTTAATGGAGGACCAAATCTAAATAATCAATCGTACATTGTTTGCTAATAATTATATTTCAGTACAATAGAGGTTTTAATTTGCGCTTTGGCGAAATGAAACAGAAAACTTTGTAGAATTCAAGTTGTCCCCGGTGGAACCAATCATGATGCCAATACTTTTTTTTCCCTTTTCAGGAATTATTCATAATGTCAAATATTAATGCGTGGACTTTTTTTTTTTTTTTTAGATTTATTAATGCGTGGACTTGAGAAACAATGAAATGACTATCTATGTTTGTGTGGGCGGATGATAATAATTGATAGAAAAATGTCCTTGCAATAGGTTTCAGTTTCATTTCTAAATCTTTATTGTGAAATGCTTACTAAAGAGATGAGAGTGAACTTGTTCGTAATGATTCTGATTTCTGATAAAGGTGTGCCTGCTTTCAAGTTTCAATGCATATTAAAAGAAAAAATCTAACTCCTCTTCTCATATTCATCACAAATTTCGACACTCATTTCCACCAAAAACAATCCTTAAATAACAAGATTTCTTTTTTTTTTTCTTTTTTATTTTTGTAGTCACATTGTTTTCATAATAAATAAATATAGATGTCGCATTTATATTTATTCTGTGTGGCGGTAAAATTTAGTGCACTCAAATATTAATCTAATTATATCGTTATACTTGATTCATAAATATCTCTTAACTATATATTCTAATTTAACATATTCCTCAAACTTTAAAAAAAGTTTATCTTGCTTCTAATTATATACCTGAATTATATACCTGAATTTTAAATACTCTCACTGTTTATAATATATAATACTAACAAAATAGTGATGTGACATTAATTATAATTTCATAAATGTCCCTGAATTATTAACTAACGAGTACCCATACTTGTGGATAAAGTTGTGATATTTATTCATTCTCTTTATTATCTATCCAAGCATATTGAATGTCAAACTTTAATATTTAAGTGCATATTGGTTATAATGGGTTGACCTTTCCACTTAGTAAATTTATTTTTATTTTTCAATTAGTTAAAATTTATTTTTTAAACAAGTTCTGCACATCCCTAGTTAGGGGATTTAGCATGATTAGTCCTATCCTACAAATATAATAATTATAATAATAATAATAATAACTAAAAGTAAATTGAGGGTATTTGATATAAAAAGAAACATGATAGGCTTAATTTTTTAATTCTTTGGGAGGGCTTATATACCCACCTATTCTTTTACACGATAAAATATATCGAGTTTTTTAGATAAAATAAATAATAAGTATTGACTTTTTTTAACTAAAAAAACCTTTAAATTGAAGTAGATCATTGTATTTTATGCGCGGTTTTTCACAATTCGAGTTAATGAATTTTATATAAGAAAAAATACTGTAAGTAAAAAATTTGAATTGTGAGCAGTATAAGAATATTTTTCTTGAATTAATTTGAGAAAGAAAAAAGCACATGAAAAAATTGAAAAAAAAAATCAGGAAAAATCTTTTACTAACATCGCGTGCAGTCACGTGAACATAGAGCGTGTGCTTCAAGTATGCCTCTTTCTTTTACCTTTTTTTTTTTTTTTTTTCCTTCCTCGGTTTCTGTAGAGAAAAGTTGTGTTGATTTGCTCGTTGAAAGTCGTTGGCTTTTCCACTGCTTTATCAGCTTCACTTTTTAGCAACTGTTATGTGAGACCATAACCGTCTATCTCGCTCCCACGGTAAAACAACAATATTGGAGACCAAGAGATATGCCCTTTTCGGTTAGGCTTATTATTATTAATGTCCTGAATTTTTACGTCATTTTTAATATATTTTTAAATTTTAAAAATTTTCATTCTATTATTTAAATTTTAAATTATTTCTATTTAATTTATTTTGTTACAATTTATATTAAAAATAAGTAGAAAATAATACAGTGATATGATCTTTTTGTTTAGATATGATTTTAATAAAAATTACAACAAAATGAGTTAAGAGCAAAATAAAAATTTTTAAAATTTAAGAGACGAATTGAGAATAATTTTAAAGTTCAAAAGCACCAATGAACCATTCGGTTATATATAACCATTTATGCGTTTTAAAAATAAAATATGTAAACTTTCACAAAAGGACCGCAAGAGCAATTTTTTTAGTCATTTTTCTACGACCAAATAAGAGTATTTTTTGAATTATAAAAAAAAAGAGTATTTTGTGTGACATAAATGCATTTTCTTTAACATAAATGGAAACATTAAAATTTAATCAAAAGGCTAAAAAATTTACTCTACCACTAAGACAATATAATGCGCTTTATGGTTAAAAAAAAGTTACAAGTTTTTTTTTTCATTTTCTTTAGTTATTTACCAACTTAAATAGGATAAAATGTTAAAAGAGAGCGTGAAATAAGAGTGAGTTGTGAAGGATATACAATAAAATATATCCTCATTACTAATCTTATAATACATAAAAGAGTCAAAACTCTTTAACAGTAATCTTTTTTTAAGCTGTCAGGTGGTGGCCTCTCTTCTTTACTACTTTCTTTTTTTTTACTATTTTAACTTTTATCTTTATTTATATAATCTAATCTAACATTTAATCAAATCTAATCTAATCTAATTTATGTAACAAACATAAAAGAGTCAATGATCTTTTTTATGAGGTTGCTACATGTCAGCCTACACTTACTTCTTTTTTTCTCTCTTTTTTACTTTTTTTACCTTTATTTTTTATTTTGTGAATGTTTTAATACATTTTAATTTTTTATGTGATTTTTTTAAATTATGTTTTTTTTTGCACTTTACTCCTGTGAAATTAATTTCTTTCGCATGTGTTCTTATTTTATTTTTTGTCAATGATTAGAATAATTATCTTCAAATATGTCCCTACTTAATTTTCTTTTTGTCAATTGTTATCTTCATACCTATTTCTTTTTTAAATAAATTCTTAAATGTTGTATAAATGAATTTCTCATTATTCGGTAAACAATAAACTCTTTAGGTGTTTCAAACACGGTAATATGTGCGAAGCACGCTACAAAATTAGTTAAGAAAAATGAGACAAATACCTCTTAAATGATGTGAGTCTGGATGTTTATCATTCACTCTTAATTAATATATTTTTTAGTCAAATAATTATATCAAGTAAAAAGATATTAATCAATAAAAAATAGGTAAGATTTCAGTTTCATGCCCTCAAAATGTAAGTTCAACAATTTTGTGTACTATATAAATTAACAGTGTTGATTAATGTAAATTTTCAGGAAGGTACATGTCAAATTTTCTGGGATAAATTAGAAAAGTTTTCAACTATATCTAATAATTAAAGGATGTGTATCGTATTCAAAATTACACATCTACATAGATAAATAATCAAAATATGTATTCATATCATCAGTTAAGCTAATAAGAGTTTGCTTGTCCAACCAAATGGTTCCTAGTATTGTTGTTACATATCCAGTGTACTCAAAATAAGCTTCCTTGTTCAACAAAAAGCTTAATTCAGTACCAATATTAAGAATTAATT